AGCGGTTGCATTTAATTTAGGAAAATATTCTTCCCGAGTCCAATTATCACTAAGCCGTCAATAATTAACCCAGTTGCTACTGAATATTAGAATAATTTGTAGCACAACATTATCTAATATAGCAAATAATTATATCAAATAAATAACTAGTAGGCCTCCCTAGCAATTAAATGATACAACTATTCAAATAACTTAGAAGAATATTTAATACCCAAATGCATAAAAATTATATAATAAAAATAACTAAATAATCTTACAGCATAATCAATTCCGGGGCTTCAATTCACTAAACCAAGCTAAAGAAATTAGCAATGAATGGACATTGATAACAGCTTTACAGAATAATCGAGAGGGGAAGAATGAACATTTTACAATAGGAAACTCCTACTATTTATAGCATTCTAAAAATAGGCCAAATGAACCTCTACCATCCATTCCCTATTATTGCGTCATTCGTCCGAAGACTTCCACTATTTGCGCCAAAATGAGTGAATTGAAACTTTCAATTCGAATATGCATTTCCGCTGCTTTGACCAACATAATACTAAATTAATATATATATATATATATATATATATATATATATATATATATATTAGTAAGTATTATATTTTATATATATGTAGTATGTAGTACGTAGTAAATACTATTATATATTATATATTATATATATTTATATTATTAGTAGTACGAAATATATATGTATTCTATATATTTGTTTATTAGATATATTATATATTATTATTATTATTATTATTATTATTATTATTATTATTATTATTATTATTATTATTAGTAGTAGTAGTAGGAGTAGTAGGATGGTACGTAGTATATACATATATATTATAATATATTATATATTTGTTTAGTATTATATTTAGCTCATAAATTGTTAAACTCTAAAAATAACTAACTGTTAAATAAAATGAAATAATTAATACGAAAATATTATAAAATGTACCTAAAATATAAGTGTAAAATGCTCATATCAAATTTCCCCACACTAAAACATTTGCTTGTCCCCAAACAAAAATATTATTTGCGAAGTAAATTGAAATAAAATTTCCAAAACTCATAACATATCATGAACAACAATCTGCCCGGTCTTCGGCCCGAGCTGTATGAGGCAAAAACTCGTCCCACGTACGGTTCGGAGGCCGAGCCCCACCCCAGCAGTAAGGGTGCGGCTTAGGTCAACTAACACAAAAAAGATACAGTTCACTCAACGATTGCCTTTGGGTTTCGAACTCCATATGGGGAAGGAGCGTTGTTGTTTGCGAGGTCTTGATCATTTACATGGACCCACTTTTCATTCCATTTGTGGGAATTTGATGATCTATAAACCGTCCCTAACGAACGATCGGCTCATGTTGGAGCATGATGAATCACTTCGTGCCGACCTGTTGCCAATCCACTTTTCGTCCTCATATGAGAATGGAAAACTGGAGCATTCTTTCTCTCTCATAAGTAGAAAAAGTATGAAGAATCGCGAACAAAAGAATTTCTGTTTGACCATGTTCCCAGAAAAAAGATACTTTCGAGAAACGACGAGCACGAATGAAGTGGCTATACATACAAATCTATTTACAGATCTATATGCTTCGATTGGAACTGGAAGTGGAAGAAAGGGCGGCTGGTATACCACAATAATGAAAAAGCCCTTTCTTTTTTATATTCGGAAGGGATTTCCGTTGGCTTCGTCGAGAGGTGGTGAGCTGTCGTAGGCTTCCAAATTAAAACCTTACAAACGTAGTAGCGGGAGTAAGGATCGATCCCACGAGGAGTAACTAGTTTAACTTTTGTGCTCAAATTAAAGGTAGGGGGGTTTGGAACATATCGAGAATAAAGATAAAATAAAAGAGAATTTAGATAAACAAGTAATTTAACTGAACGAATAAAGAAATGAAAATAATATATCGAAAACACTTATAATAAGAAACCTTGGTTAGTAAAGATCCACCACCGGAATTTAACACTGGTCATTGATTTATAAAGTAATTTATATGCAATTGAATATTTGTCGTGAAATTATTTCATTTCTGTTTTCCCTTAGTTGTAGGTAAATAAAGCACAAGCGGTTTAATTACCCTTAACTACTAAATAATCTAAGACAAGCGCTATAGATTTAATTTAATAGCAGCAATAGGAACTAGGAAAACCGACAAACTAAATAACACAAGCACAAGCGGTTGCATTTAATTTAGGAAAATATTCTTCCCGAGTCCAATAATCACTAAGCCGTCAATAATTAACCCAGTTGCTACTGAATATTAGAATAATTTGTAGCACAACATTATCTAATATAGCAAATAATTATATCAAATAAATAACTAGTAGGCCTCCCTAGCAATTAAATGATACAACTATTCAAATAACTTAGAAGAATATTTAGGGTGTGTTTGGAAACCTGGAAAATGAGTTCTGGAAATCATTTTCCAAGTTTCCAGTGTTTGGATGTGCCTGGAAAATCAAGTCAACGGAAATCATTTTCCATTGACTTTGGAAAATAGGCTTGTTTTGGAGGAAAATGACTTCCCCTTTTTTTGGGGGGAAGTCATTTTCCAACTTTTACACTAACATCACACCACCACCAACATCATCAACACTATACCACCATCACCACCACTATACCCCCGCCACCATCACACCACCACCACAACCACCACCAACACCGCAACCACTACCACCACCACCACCGCCGCCACCATCGCCGCCGCCACCACCACCACATACCACCGCCACCACACCACCACCACACCACCACCTTCACACAACCGCCATCGCCACCACCATACCACCGTCGCCGCCACCACTACCACCATACCACCGCCACCGCCATCACCACCATACCACCGCAACCACCGCCACCATATCACCGCAACCACCACCACCACCACCACCATACCACTACAACCACTGTCGCCGCTACCACCGCCACCACCACCATACCACCACAACCACCATCGCCGCCACCACTACCACCATACCACCGCCGCCGCCATCACCACCATACCACCGCCACCACCACCACACCACCGCCATCACACCGCCACCGTCGTCACCGCCACCACCACCACCATACCACCGCAACCACCGCCGCCGCCACCACCACCATACCACCGCAACCACCGTCGCCGCCACCACCACCACCACCGCAACCACACGACCACTGCCACCACCGTCATACTACCACCACCATCACACCAACACCACTAACGCCGTCGCCGCCACCACCAGCATACTACCGCAACCACCGTCGTCGCTGCCACCACCATACCACCGCAACCACCACCGTCGCCACCACCACCATACCACCGCCACCACACCACCACCATCATACCACCACCAATTATTATTATTATTATTATTATTATTATTATTATTATTATTATTATTATTATTATTATTATTATTATTATTATTATTATTATTATTATTATTATATAACGAATAACACCACTACCACTACACCACCACCACCACCATAATATTTTTGATATATTATTAGTTTTTTTTTTGAAAAACTTAGCTATTTTTTATTATATTTAAAATTAATATTATATTATTATATATTATTATACATGTTGTAATATTCTAAATAAAATAATTAAAATGTTTAATTATACAATTCTACTCATTTTCCAGAAAATGAACCAAACACAGAAAAACAGTTTTCCATAATGCAACCAAACACTGGAAAGGAAAATGTTTTCCGGAAAATGACTCATTTTCCAGAAAACATTTTCCAGAAGTCATTTTCCTGCTTTCCAAACGGACCCTTAATACCCAAATGCCTAAAAATTATATAATAAAAATAACTAAATAATCTTACAGCATAATCAATTCTGGGGCTTCAATTCACTAAACCAAGCTAAAGAAATTAGCAATGAATGGACATTGATAATAGCTTTACAGAATAATCGAGAGGGGAAGAATGAACATTTTACAATAGGAAACTCCTACTATTTATAGCATTCTAAAAATAGGCCAAATGAACCTCTACCATCCATTCCCTATTATTGCGTCATTCGTCCGAAGACTTCCACTATTTGCGCCAAAATGAGTGAATTGAAACTTTCAATTCTTCTATGCATTTCCGCTGCTTTGACCAACATAACCAACATAATACTAAATTATAATATATATATATATATATATATATATATATATATATATATATATATATATATATATTAGTAAGTATTATATTTTATATATATGTAGTATGTAGTACGTAGTAAATACTATTATATATTATATATTATATATATTTATATTATTAGTAGTACGTAATATATATGTATTCTATATATTTGTTTATTAGATAAATTATATATTATTATTATTATTATTATTATTATTATTAGTAGTAGTAGTAGTAGTAGGAGGAGGATGGTACGTAGTATATACATATATATTATAATATATTATATATTTTATAATATATTATATATTTTATAATATATTATATATTTGTTTAGTATTATATTTAGCTCATAAATTGTTAAACTCTAAAAATAACTAATTGTTAAATAATATGAAATAATTAATACGAAAATATTATAAAATGTACCTAAAATATGAGTGTAAAATGCTCATATCAAATTTCCCCACACTAAAACATTTGCTTGTCCCCAAACAAAAATATTATTTGCGAAGTAAATTGAAATAAAATTTCCAAAACTCATAACATATCATGAATAACAATCTGAAGCACCCTGCAATTAATAAGTTAGCACCCATGTCTGAAATTGAGAGAACTAAATAAGTAAGCCCTCACAGGAATATCACTCATCACTCAAGTGTTTGATGGGTATAAATTTCACTCAAGTTCATTCCTATAAAATTGCTCTACCATAGGCTTGCATTTCTTCTCAATCACCCGTACAAGACTCATGCATGACACAAATCATAAGGACTTCCCACAGGTTGTAATGGGGCTAGGGTTAAGGTAGGGAATTTTTAGGAAAGTAGCTTAAACAAAAGCTTTCAAACTAGAGGAGCAAATAAATACAAATAATCCAACACCCTCAATTTCCAATCAAAAACACATCTCATTGAGGCTCCAACATGATTATCATTCTCAAAAGTATAGAATGCTTCCTCAGTATTACCAGAATTTCCCCTTGCTTCATTTATTCAGAGGTAACTTCAGACTCAGAACAAACTGTTGATTCTTTCTCATTTTTCTCATAAATTTTCAGCAATATTTTTCATTTTCAAACATATATTCTCCATTTTTCCATTTTTTCATTTTTTCAATTTCCATATTTTTTTGGAATCATGAATTGTCTTCGTTTTCTTTTTCATAGAAGACCAGTGACAAATCGGCAATGAAGATACAACACACCTCATTCTCCATCATATCAACACAAGAAAGTGACCTCCCCCACACTTCTTCCTCACAACCTCACGTAGATTACACGAATAATTCAAAATTTGCTCCACTAGTTATTCAGCTGGGTGAAGGCATTATTTTTAGATATAAAAGGCTTGTAATGTGGTTAAAAAAAAAAAAAGAAAAGAGTGGCCATAAAGCTCAAAGTGGTTAACAAGGGGAAATAAATCGTAGGACAAATCGGTTATTTGGCTAGTGAGGCTCAAGATCAAATAATGGCCTTAATCACACTTGAATCATGCATGGCCTAATTAGCTTTAAAAGAGAATCAAGACAAGTTCTAGAGAAACAAAATTATGGAAGAAATCGCACAATAGAAAGAAAATAAGACCGAAGTGTCAGTCAATAGCTCAAAACACTCAGAGGTTTATTGCTTACTTAATATAGCCACTACATATCAAACAGGAAATGCTAACAAATTAATCACAACTTGCCAAACTATTTATTCAATCATGTTATGAATTCCAAGAAGGGAATTTTTTTTTTTCCAAAATAATACTTATTTTGCATAAAACACTAGTAAAATATTTGTGAAAATTTTGACATATGCAAACAAATAATAAAACTAAATTCCCTCCCCCACACTTATTATCAACATTGTCCCCAATGTTGAATAAAAAAGCACAGAAAAAAGGGTTATTGAATGAGAATATAGAATAAAAGAAAAAAAAAATAAAATGGAACAAACACACCTGAGGTTGCCTCCTAAGCAGCGCCTTTGTTTATCGTCGTTGGCTCGACTTATGATATTTCTTTAAATTTCCATCGTATTTTTGAGTACCTTCTATGATTATGAGTATTCAAAGAAACAGTCCCTTCATGCAGATTAGTACTCAAAGATGATTTATTATTTCTTTCTTTTTCATTCGAAACAATTTCATCAAATGTAACAAAGTTCAAAGAATCAACAAAAATTGCAAAATTATCATCACTAGGGGATTTCATGGTATCATAAATATTAAAAGTCACAAGTTTACCATTAGAATCCATAGTAAGCATACCACTATGAATATCAATTTTTGTTTTTGCAGTTTTTAAGAATGGCCTTCCTAACAAAATATGATTATTATTTTTCATATCAAGTACATAAAAATCAGCAGGAAAAACCAAGTTATCAACTTCAACAATCAAATCCTCAATCACACCCCTAGGATATGTAGTAGATCCATCAGCCAATTGAATTATTATACTAGATTTATTCAGGGGTCCAAGATTTAAATAAGCATAAACAGAATATGGCATGACATTAATAGAAGCTCCTAAATCTAACATAGCATTTTCAAATTTCACCCCACTTATCATGCATGCAATAGTAAACATACCTGGGTCTTTGCACTTTTCAGGAAGATTGCTTTGACTAGCCATAGAGACATTCTCTTGCACTTTCACTTCCTCAATTTTTTCATTATTTCGTTTCTTGTTCATAGTGCGTACCTCTTTTAGAAAATTTGCATAGCGAGGTACTTTTTCCATAGAATCTAAAAGTGGTTTATTAGCATCACATTCACGAAAGGTCTCATACAGATCATTATTTGAGTTTCCTCTTATTGGTTATAAAAGAGCTTGAGGAAATGGGGGTACTGGTTCATAATCAGAAAAAGAAGAAAGCTTACCTTGGGACTTCTCTTTATTGTTGGCAATGATTCCTGCACTTATTTCCTTATTCAAATCAACATTCTTTTCCAGCGACATACTTTCAACATTAATTGCACTTACATTCTCTTTAGGATTAACAACTGTTTGAGAGGGTAGCTTGCCAGAACTCTGTGCTTCCAACCGACTAACGTAGTTGCTAGTTGGCCCATTTGTCTTTCCAAGTTTTGAATACTAGCCTTTGTTTCTTGAATACTAGCTCGTGTCTCTTGTTGGAATAGTTGTGTTTCTTGTTGAAACTGCAAAGTGTTAGTAGCAAGAGATTTAACAATATCTTCTAGATTCGTACCTGAGCTAAAGTTTTGGGTCGGTTGTTGTCTTGAAGGAAATGGTTGTCTATACTGTTGAAAATTAGAACGATTCTGAACAAACTGGTTCCCTTGTGAGTTCCCATAGCTAAGGTTTGGGTGATCCCTCCATCCAGGATTATATGTATTGGAGAACGGATCATACTTACCTTGAGGTTGTCCAGGAAAACCTCTAGCCATGTTAACTTGTTCAATAGTTTCTTCTTGAAGAGTTGGGCAGGCATCAGTTTGGTGCCCAACTACCGAGCAAATTCCACATTCTTTTACAGATTGCACATTGCCGACAGCTAATTGACGGACAAGAGTAGTTAAACCAGAAATTTGTTGTTCAAGGGCAGAAATATTTACCTCATTCACTTGCTTAGACGGTTGGATTATTCTATTGCCAAACTGTTGAGAATTTGCAGCCATGTTTGCAATTAGAGTTCTTGCAGCGTCCGGTGTCTTGTCAACTAAGGCACCACCGCTTGCGGCATCAATCATGCTTCTATCCATTTGAAAAAGTCCTTCATAAAAGTATTGAATGAGTAATTGCTCACTAATTTGATGGTGTGGGCAGCTTGCACAAAGCATTTTGAAACGCTCCCAATATTCATATAATGACTCTCCATTGTTTTGCCTTATACCACAGATTTCCTTTCTAATGTTGGCCGCCCTTGAAGCTGGGAAATATTTTTCAAGGAATAGTGTCTTTAAGTTATTCCATGTGGTGATGCTTCCGGAAGGTAAATAATATAGCCAATCCTTAGCTGAATATTTCAAAGAAAATGGGAAGGCTCTCAACTTGATTTGTTCTTCAGTAACCCCTGTGGGTTTCATACTTGAACACACCACATGGAATTCCTTCAAGTGCTTGTGAGGGTCTTTACCTGCAAGTCCATGAAAAGAAGGCAAAAGATGAATTAATCCAGATTTTAATTGAAATTGGACATTAGCATCCAGAGCAGGAAAAGTGATGCATAAAGGTTGGTGATCGAAATTTGGTGCTCCAAGCTCTTTTAAAGTCCGATTTTGAGACATGGGTTCCTCTTCTAAATTAGAATTGGTAGAATCGGTAGCCAGATCACTAAACTCCAATTTGCTCAAAGCTTGTTTCCTCCACCTGCGTACAGTTCTTTCAATTTCTGGATTGTATGGCATGACTTCTTTGTTAGCCGATCGAGTTATAGGCATAAACAAAAAGAAAATATATTGCAGCAATAATGTAAAAGTAACGAAAGAAAAGATTTTTTAAAAAAAATTTTATGGGACAAATTAACGAGAAAAAAAAAATAAATAAATAAATAATTAAATAAACACAAAATAAACAAGAAAATCTCCCCGGCAACGGCGCCAAAGTTTGGTGAGCTGTCGTAGGCTTCCAAATTAAAACCTTACAAACGTAGTAGCGGGAGTAAGGATCGATCCCACGAGGAGTAACTAGTTTAACTTTTGTGCTCAAATTAAAGGTAGGGGGGTTTGGAATATATCGAGAATAAAGATAAAATAAAAGAGAATTTAGATAAACAAGTAATTTAACTGAACGAATAAAGCAATGAAAATAATATATCGAAAACACTTATAATAAGAAACCTTGGTTAGTAAAGATCCACCACCGGAATTTAACACTGGTCATTGATTTATAAAGTAATTAATATGCAATTGAATATTTGTCGTGAAATTATTTCATTTCTGTTTTCCCTTAGTTGTAGGTAAATAAAGCACAAGCGGTTTAATTACCCCTAACTACTAAATAATCTAAGACAAGCGCTATAGATTTAATTTAATAGCAGCAATAGGAACTAGGAAAACCGACAAACTAAATAACACAAGCATAAGCGGTTGCATTTAATTTAGGAAAATATTCTTCCCGAGTCCAATTATCACTAAGCCGTCAATAATTAACCCAGATGCTACTGAATATTAGAATAATTTGTAGCACAACATTATCTAATATAGCAAATAATTATATCAAATAAATAACTAGTAGGCCTCCCTAGCAATTAAATGATACAACTATTCAAATAACTTAGAAGAATATTTAATACCCAAATGCATAAAAATTATATAATAAAAATAACTAAATAATCTTACAGCATAATCAATTCCGGGGCTTCAATTCACTAAACCAAGCTAAAGAAATTAGCAATGAATGGACATTGATAACAGCTTTACAGAATAATCGAGAGGGGAAGAATGAACATTTTACAATAGGAAACTCCTACTATTTATAGCATTCTAAAAATAGGCCAAATGAACCTCTACCATCCATTCCCTATTATTGCGTCATTCGTCCGAACACTTCCACTATTTGCGCCAAAATGAGTGAATTGAAACTTTCAATTCTTCTATGCATTTCTGCTGCTTTGACCAACATAACCAACATAATACTAAATTATAATATATATATATATATATATATATATATATATATATATATATATATATTAGTACGTATTATATTTTATATATATGTAGTATGTAGTACGTAGTAAATACTATTATATATTATATATTATATATATTTATATTATTAGTAGTACGTAATATATATGTATTCTATATATTTGTTTATTAGATATATTATATATTATTCTTATTATTATTATTATTATTATTATTATTATTATTATTATTATTATTATTATTATTATTATTAGTAGTAGTAGGATGGTACGTAGTATATACATATATATTATAATATATTATATATTTGTTTATTATTATATTTAGTTCATAAATTGTTAAACTCTAAAAATAACTAATTGTTAAATAATATGAAATAATTAATACGAAAATATTATAAAATGTACCTAAAATATGAGTGTAAAATGCTCATATCAGGAGGCTCTCGTAGTTTGTTCAGTAAGTTCAAAAAGGATCGGTGGTCTTGGAGTTGAGGAAGTTCCGTGGAGAATATATATCAAGCGGTCTACAGAATAGAGTGGAAGATGCCATGGCCAAGTTTCGGGGAAGTGTATCGAACGTCCGTCTATTCCCGCATTTGGCTACTTCTTCGTACAATTAGTCTGGAATAGAGAAATGACAATAATACAAAGCGGCATTCTCCCTTTACTCTATCTTGATTGAGAATGGAATTATGGAACAAACTCCCAGAGCTGCGGAACTAAAGAGTCTATTAGAAAGTAGAATTAGCAACTTTTACACGAATTTTCAAGCAGACTCGATCGGCCGGGGGAGGAGTGCAAAGCCTGGATGGCTTGGTAAGCAAGCAATCCGTTAAACGGCGCCAACTCCCCATTCTTTATTTTTTTTCTTTTTGAAAGTCACGATCGTTTCAATCCGGTGTGTTCGCGGATCTGGGAAGCGCTGGTTCGAATCCAACTCGTGACAAGACCAAAGGTCATTTACCCCTCCTATAATTCCGGAAACAGCTCTACGACCCAGAGGTTAGTGACTGCAACTAGCGTTGGTACGAGGGGAGAGGGAATACTACTTGGAGCCTTACCGAACCAGCAACATATAATTGCGTATATAACGCAAACACGTAATCTTCATCTGATCTGGAATGAAAGCTCTGATAGTTGAGACATAAATCTAGGGCCAATGAGTGCTACAGTAGTGCCTGCGGGGTCGTAGTGCCGGTTACCGAGGGTTTTTATCCTTGAGGAGCTTGATTTCAATTGAAGATTTTGTTAGTGTGAAGTGTAAGTAGTAAGGGCGCATTTCACAATGATAAACATAATATACCTTGTTTAAGGGTTGGGTATTGAATAAGAATAAGGATTTTTTTTATTTATCACTCTCAGATATAACTCTCTGACCGAATTGAAAGCTCTTGCTTGTTGTCTGTAGCGGTAGTATAGACTTTCATCTCTATACCGGGGTTTCTTCCTTGTTGCTTGATAGTCCGGGAGGCTTAACTAAACAACAACAAAGAAACTCTTTCTAAATAAGATATTTGTTTGTGCTAATCTATAAGAGTCTCAATTAGCCTAGGAATGATTTTGAATACCGATTCATTGCTAAAAAAACCTCTCCTATTTTTGAATTATCGAAGCAAGATGTGCTAGCTGGTGGTCCTCTCAAAAGCGGATATAAATATTTTACCACCATTGTTAATATTATCGTTCCAATAGTGAGAATGTTCAATGAAGTAAGTGACACTGCGAAAAAGATTAAAGTAAGTAATTCATATATATGTTATTTTGCTCAATATATTTAATGTTGTAATCAATATGTATGTTGTATGTTATGTATATCTCAGTATCTCAGCCATATAAATAAAGTTACAAACTAATATCCCAATACTAAATACCAAAAAAATATTGCTTGGTGGAACAATGGAAGTGGAATCTAGCTAGTTTTGCAATTTTGGGAATTATCTGTCTGTTGAAGTTGTAGCATCCCAAATCTTTATTAAGAGGAGGGATGTTGCAGCCATGATGCTGATTCCCAAATCTTTATTTGTTTATATTATTATGTGTATTTGTTTATACAATTATGTGTATTTTTTTTATACAATTATGTGTATTTTTTTATACAGTTATGTAAACGACGTCGTTTTGCATCAGGGTGCACAATGCAATGCGCGCCCTGGTGCACGATATAAATTGCTCGTTGAATAAATGGCAATTTATATCGTGCACCAGGGCGCGCATTGCATTGTGCGCCCTGATGCAAAACGACGTTGTTTTAGATTTTTTTTTTTTTTAAATTTCGCTACCCAGTGTTTGGCGATTAATTTTCCTTCAAAAAAAAATTTCATGTTGAAAACTGTACATAATTTTATACTAGAATACACATAATTGTATACATGAATGTACATAACTGTATAAACAAATACACATAACTGTATAAAAAAAATACACATAATTGTATAAACAAATACACATAATGATATAAACAAATACACATAATTACGTCAACTCCCTTTCGTCCCTCCCAAAACGACGTCATTTTAGGAGGCGCGGAGCGCACAATACTACGCGTGCCGTGGTGTAGGGTTTAACGGTTGTGAATAAATCAGCTGGGCTGATTTATGAAATTTTGATCATGGGGCCGGCTGAAAATGATGATATTGGGCCTATTTGAGAGCTGGATTGGGAATTATTTTCCCAGTAGGCCTTGTGGCTGAATGGGACTTGTTGGGTCAGATTTGGGAATTAATTCCCAATGTTACATGGTTGCTGGGCCTTCAGGGAATTAAAAGCCCAACTGGGTTGCTTTCAATCGTTATATTGTAGACCGCGGTGCACATGCACCGCGGTCTAAAACAGCGCCGTTTCTTTAAGTAAAAAAAAACGCTCCGTCGTTATCGTTAACGGAGTCTGCATGTTTGGTGTATTAAACACCAACTAACACTACAATACATCTAAATCGACATTGTCTTATGTATTATTGCTATATTATCAAATGAAATTGCAGTTATATCAAATGACACTGTAGTTGTGGTGAAATGAAATTGCAATGTATATAAAATGAAACTGAATAACATTTCACATATTTGAGTATATATTGTACAATGAAGTTGTAATTATATCAAAATGATCATGTAGTTGTGTTTTAATAAAACTATAGTGTATATAAAATAAAATTAAATAACATTTTCACATATTTGAGTCTATAAATATCGAATAAAACTGTAGTTGTGTTGAACTGAAACTGCAATGTATACAAAATGAAACTGAATAACAGAGTTACATTTTGCGGAAGGGTGCGTAACGACGGAAAACAAATACCGTTTCTTTTTATTTAACAAAACGACGTCGATTTGATGAGCGGTGCATAATCCCTGCGGTACACGATAAAATTTGCCTTTCACTTGGCCGAATAGGCCATTTGAAGAGGACGAATGGGCTGAGCCCAATAAAAGCATGGGCTTGCTGAATTGGGAATTAAATCCCAAGGCGCTTTGTGGGCTGATATTTTGTTAGCCCCTTTGGGCGTTATTCTTTAAGTCGATATATTATAGACATGCACCGCGGTCAAAAACGGCACCGTTTCTTTAAGTAAAGAAACGGTTCGCCGTTAGGGTTAACGGAGTCCGCTTGTTTGGTGTATTAAACACCAACTGACACTATAGTATATCTAAACCGACACTGCAGTTATATCAAAATGATACTGTAGTTATAGTGAAATGAAACTGCAGTGTATATAAAATGAAACTGAATAACATTTCACATATTTGAGTGTATATTGTACAATGAAGCTGTAATTATATCAAAATGATCATGTAGTTGTGTTTAAATGAAACTATAGTGTATATAAAATAAAATTAAATAACATTTTCACATATTTGAGTCTATAAATATCGAATGAAACTATAGTTATATCGAAATGAAACTGTAGTTGTGTTGAATTGAAACTGCAGTGTATACAAAATGACACTGAATAACAGAGTTACTTTTTGCAAAAGGATGCGAAACGACGGAAACAAACACTGTTTATTTTCATTTAAAAAAAAAGACGCGCGGTGCATAATCGATTATGCACCGCGGTGCATAATATAATTTGCCTTATTCTTTTAGCCTTATAGGCCTTGTATTTGAGATTTTGTTAGCCTGGTAGGCTTTTAGCCCTTTTGGGGCAAATTATATCGTGCACCGTGCATCAAAACGACGTCGTTTTGTTAAATGAAAATAAACGGCATTTGTTTTTCACCGTTCCGCACCCTTCCGCAACGAGTAACAGTAACTCTGTTATTCAATTTTATTTTGTATATACTGCAGTTTCAGTTCAACACAACTACATGTAAATACTCATGTTCCTCTTAGTGTGTTAGTAAATACTCATAATAATTGGTGTTATTCAGAATTCTTACAAATGTTAGTAGGTGCCGTGGTTTCTAAAATATGCTAATCTATGACACTCATGTTCATTATGTGTGTTGAAATTGAACAGAAATACTTTTCAGCAGTGAAAATTTGAGATCTGCCAGTGAGGAAAAGATCAAAGGCCCAAGAAGATATATAGATTGTTATATGATCTTCATTTCCATACTGAGTTTCTGTTGCCCCCATCGAATTTTATTAGTTTGTAAATTGTAAAATGCTTTAATTTTCTTGATTCATGAAAACTTTAAAAAAAAAAAAAAAAAAAAACACATTTTGAATGGGTTGCAGGGATGAACAAGCAAAAACAGCTAGCAGAAGACATTCTGAGGTATGGGGACATAAAAATTGCAGCAGAAGTGTTCAGATTTCGTGAGCTAGCCAACGCGACGGACAATTTCAATCCGGAGCTGTTAGCGGGGAAAGAAGGAATGATTAAGGTGATATAGGAATCAAAACATACGGAGACTAGTGATAGCAAGATGGGCTCTCTCTTCATTTTTCTCTCTTCTTTGTCTTTTTTTTTTTCTATTAATAAATTTATCCGTTTGGAAAACATTGGCTATGAATAATTCCTATGTATTTGTGTTGTAAAAGTGTGAGTTTATTTATTGTTTTAAAAATTAGTTGCATATATATATATATATATATATATATATATATATATATATATATATTATTATTTTTAAATAAAACACTTTCTGCGACACCCACTTGTGCGTGGGTGTCGTGGATAGTATTTAATAATAAAATATTAAATGACTTTTCGAGGCACCTATGAGTCTATGACGCAACAGGTGCCTCAGAAAGTCTCTATTAAAAAAAATAAAAAATGTTTATATAGCTTTCCGCGACACCCTTTACGGGTGCCTCGGAAAGCTAAAGACTTTCAGAGGCTCTGGAATCCGAGTCACCTGTACAGGTGACTCGGAAAGTGTTTTATAGGTGACTCAAAGTGTTTTTTGTACTAGTGTCAGTTTCATTTCGATATAACTGCAGTTTCATTCGATATTTATAGACTCAAATTTGTGAAAATGTTATTTTATTTTATTTTATATACACTATAGTTTTATTAAAACACAACTACATGATCATTTTGATATAATTACAGCTTCATTGTACAATATACAGTCAAATATGTGAAATGTTAATCAGTTTCATTTTATATACACTGCAGTTTCATTTCACCACAACTACAGTATCATTTTGATATAACTGCAGTTTAATTTAATAATATAAAAATATTACGTGAGGCAGTGTCGGTTTAGATGTACTGTAGTGTCAGTTGGTATTTAATACACCAAACATGCAGATTCCGTTAACGGTAACGGCATGCCGCTTCTTTACTTAAAAAAACGGTGCTGTTTTTTACCGTGGTGCATGTGCGCCGCGGTCTACGATATAACGACTACCCTTTTGGTTGTAAGGCCTTATGGCCTTTTGGTACTTAAGGCTATGTTAAAGCCGTGTTTGTGAGCCTTACGTCAC